ACTAATTAATTTTGGCATCAAATAAGACATGTGGGTAGTTAATTGTTTTAAACCCCATTTCACAGCTAGGTGTAGGAGCAAGTAGGACTGTATGTCAGTGATATCATGGAAAGACAAATCAAGTGACTACTGTGATGCTAGAAAACCAAGCGAGAAGCAGGGGCAAGGATTTGACATTCTCAGATTCCAAATGGAGCTTTTGCTAATTACATTATATTATATCTTGAAGATGTCATGTGTATTTGATATGTTTTTGTTGGCCATTTCAATTGCATGTTAGTTCCCTACGGTTTTTAATCTAGTCTTTTAAGTTCAACATTCATTGTCCAAAATTCTAACAGCAGATGACATTATAATGGGGGATTTCAAAGCAACCTGAAGCAAATTTTCTCCTTGTATCTCTGCTTTCATTTTTTCTGGTACAAACCCTCTCAGGATAACAACACAAACAAAATGTTGCTGAGATTTTAACCACACCATCAAGTAAGAGTAGCATATTCCTTTGTCTGTGTTGTCATCTCTAAGAAGAGCTGCAGTGGTGCAGCTGCCATGTAACCAGTAGCTGACACATGAAGCTCATTTGTTCCTCCAAAAGTCCTTTTTCCTAACTGGCAGTATTGAAGAGAAACCACCTGGTTCCCTGTGTTCTTGACCATCTTGGTCATGTCCTCATACTTCATATGCTCCTAGTCTCCCCTAGCTGTATGCTGGCTTTGATCACACTGGAGAGCAGCAAGTAGTAATAATTGGAGAGTGTGAGAAGCTTTATCAGTGTCTCCACAACATCCTGCATCCTAAGCTCCAGCAAGAAGAAAACATCCCTAGATAGTGAAACATATTGGTAGGTGGGGACCTCTGCTCCCTGCTAGTTACCCACTGCTAACACCCATAGCTTCTTCCCGGTTCTTCATTGTGCACAGACCCTTCTACAGACGAGGAGACCACCATGAAGCTGCAGTTGGAATGGAAGAACACTTCTCACGTTTACCCTTCACGCGGTATGAAGTAATCCCGTGAACTCCGGCAGACAGCCTGGCAGTTTAGGAGTCTTGTTTCTTGTGTCCTCTAGCCACCAAAGAGAGATACTGGAGAAAACCAGTGTCACTTCTTGCAGCTCTTGTATTTTGCATGCTAGCCTCCCCTCTGTTGTCTGCCTCATGCTACATGGTTTGAGATCTCATCAAATCACAGTTGCAGTTGACATAGTTGTAGCTCGAAATGCAACTTCAATACAAGGGAGAGCACTAGTCTCTGCTGTACTTGCTCTATATTCCTGGTTGCATTTGTTCGTTGCTCCATTTAGCGACGTGAAAGGTAGAAATAGAAATGCTTTGAACAAGTCCCAGGGGCTTGTGAAAAGAAAGTGGAATATATCTGAGAAACAGAAGAGTGCCTGAGAAGAGTTATCAGTATGAGAGACCTCAAGCTGAGTGACTGAGAGTTGACATTCCTTCTATTTATTTATAAAATTTGTAACTGTGGAAATTAGCCTTAGAAGCTGTAGACCCATTACTGTTAGTTTTATCATCCTTCTAAGACATACCCTGAGGCATTCCTGGAGATTGAATCCTATTGTGCTTTGCAATAAGCCCATAATTGATTATGCTATGGAGCTTTAATATGGGTTGAGAAATAGAATCCAGAGTAAATACATTCAGAATTTTGCTAGCAGGCCAAATTTAAAGCTGGTTTTCTAAACCTACCAGGATTAGTTCTTCTCAGCTAATGATTTAATTTGAACCAGCCACCCTAAGAGGTGCAGTGTGTGAGTAAGTCCAGGCTATCTGCTTGCTGGGCTTATTTAAAGAAGTTCATCCCCTCTACTTCACCTGCAAGTTTATAAAGCTAAAATTAGGTTATAATATTGTTCATTATAAGCCACTGTAGGTCTTGCCTGGCACTCCCCCCTGTAGTGCCATCAGACACAGATTTGCAGATTTGTTTCAGTTCTGAAAAAATAGGTGCATTACACCATATCCTCCAAAAATGAGGGAGAACTGAGTTGGGTGGTTGCTTGTCTTTATATCTCCCAGGTTGAAGTATAGTCCATGTAGCTTCCTAGTCTTCGTTAGATATTTTTTTTCCCAATTCACTCATTTGTTTAAAATCTGTCCTTCCTAGAAGGAGGTTGTCCATTTTGCTCCTTCATACAGGGATGAGAATGATGTTGATCTTTTCTCATCCTTTCATTAGCAAAAATTGTCTTTTTTTTTTCTCTCAGTTACTAAGGACTGTTTTACTTCCTTTGATATGCAGGTGGTGACTGTAACTAATTTCACAACATAAGTTGGGCTAACTTGTAGGTCTACTAGAAATTGAAGCTTCTTAAACTACTTGCTATCCAGGAAGAATTTAAACAAGTAAACTCAAGAATTTTGTTACAAGCAAAAGAAATGTTGTTCAGAAGTGACAGAATTAGCACTGCTTTCTGACCGTTTTAAATCCTTCTTTTGTTTCTGGGCTTGAAATCTCAAAGGCAAAATTTGTTTGTGAGATTCAATCTTCAGAATTGGTTTAGGGTAGGGTTTTTTTGGTTCACAATATATATTTATTTGAAAATGCTCATGAAACATTGTTATTGTCTGTGCAGGGTCTTAAGGGAAAAAACAATTAGTTTCATATTTCCCAGGTGCAAAAGAACTCTCTCTTTCTTTTTCTTTCTTCCTCTCTTACTTTTTCTCATAAAAATTAAAAAACTGAGTATTTACCCCAAACCACCATACCACTGGGTCTGTTCCATTAAAAACTGATACACTATGCCCAACGTGCTAAAGATGTAAAATCTCCATTTGCGTGTTCTCACCAAATTTATTATACTGCATTTTTGTATTTAATGACCAGCTAAGGGGAAATAGTGCAAACTAAAGAGGGAAAGTGTCAAACTGGAGAGAGCTGCAATGAAAGAGCATCTTTATTTCAATGTTTGAGCTCTTCCTTACTCTGTGCCACTGTGAAAGGACATGTATTATCTTTGATCCATAATGTTTGCAGCTGCACAAAGCTGGAAATGGGACAACAGATGTGTATGGGAAGACAAGGCACAGGAATACATGAACAGAAAATCCTTAATATAAGCTTTTTTGCAAGCATAGCAGCATCGTCTTTGAATCAAGTTTTGGATCAGATGGCAATTTAAATTTCAAGAAAAAATGAATGCTGGGTAAATTGTTGTAAGAAAGACATGCTCCTCCTTATACCAGTCTCAGTTATACTATGGAAAAGACATACCTGGTGTTACGCAATAAACTTAAGCTTTAATGCCATCTTTTCTCACTTTTTAACTGCATTTTCATTGCCCCAGGAAGACTTTGCATGTAAACTGCCTAATTTTTGCTCTGGCCTTGGGAGGTTCTTAACTCTGCAGACAATAGCCCTCTGCAAAGCTCTGCTATACAAAAGATGTTTTTCCCATCAGAAAACAACACCTAGAGCTGTTTCAGACAGGAGGAGATGATATCATAATTTAAATTCAAGGTTTTCCTGAGGATTAAGAGGTTGCAATGAGGGGTTGGCTGCAGAGATTCTAGGAGAAAAGGTTGACTGGCTTGAACAAATGTAGATCAAAATGTAAAATCATTGCTGACATTGCTGTAATAACTCATACAGGAGTAAGAAACTATTGGTGGGCTGGTAGATGGTACTGCTCCTCCCTGTGTGAAGCTCTAACTCTCAGGACTCAGGAGCTGCAAGCACATGCATGCTCACACACACACTGGGCTGTATATGTGCAAGTATTTATGCTTGTATTTAAAATACACAAATTTGGAGGGACAGTGAGTAGTCTTTACTTCATGATGTTTTATGAGCATCTCCGAAGAGCATAGAATCATAGAATCATTAAGGTTAGAGAAGACTTCAAAGATCATCTAGTCCAACTATCAACCTATCACCACCATGCCCACTAGCTGTGTCCCTCAGAATTTTGATTCTTGCTCTCATTCGTTACCTTGCATATTCCCCCCGCTTCTGCCCGTGTTTTTTGTGAAGCATTGCCTGACGAAAAAGTCTGTTTTGGAATGACATCTTTCCTACCTTGATATATCTCGTTGTAATTCGTTGGTATATTTATGAGATCTTTATTAAGACAGGCCAGATTTATTTTTCATTTGCGTTAAATCGTTTGTGCCCTTTTAAAGGTGCACCAGATCCTCAGCATTGGACTTTTGGTTGTCTGCCTGACAACGATGAAGTGTTCTGTTCTAACAAATACGGTAAAATGTTGTCCTGTTGCATTTTCTGTGCTATTTGTGAAATGTTAGTAATAAGGAGGGACAGACAGATACGGAATGAATTTGGTATGAACTTATCATAATTTTGGTAAATTGCTCCAACCAGACTGAGCTGGTGGTGATCAGTGATTACTGGATTTAGCCAGTCACAGTCTCCCTTTCCAAAGGAGCTTCCCTATTTCTAAACAATTGAATCGGGGTCATTGCCAAAGCATTCATTGCTAGTTTGCAAAGACTGCTCATGAAGCTCTGTTTTCTTATTTTGGTGTCTGGGTGATGGCTCTGATTCATCCAATAAAAGGGCTACTACCAGTTGTGGTTCTAGTACGGTAACACCAAAAATAGCTTCTAATTGGTATGCAGAGTCTGGAGCAAATTTGCTCCTGCTAAGTATGCTGGTCAGGTTCTTGGGCTTGTGCATTCTGGATAGCCTCTGGCTAGCCAGGGAATTGGATGCCTTGCCTGTATGCTGCAGCTTTTCCAAGGGAATTTGTCAGAGTAATTAACAAAAGCCTCTATCTGCCTCTACAAGTAGTATGTGTGCCATTTCAAGCCTCTTGAGTGATGAAACATCACTCATCATAGAGGACAGCAGCTTCAGCAAAGTGGTCAGAGCCTGGCTAGGCATGTGGTCTGGGCTATGTCATGGTTGGGCTAGATGGTATTAATGGTCCTTTCCAACCTTAATGATTCTACGATTCTGTGTCATCCTGGATGGGAAAGATGATTACTACAGCCTAACTCTGCCCACACATGAGGTGCAATCCAGCCATGGCATGTGAGTTCCTGATGCATGGGAAGGGCAATATGCAAGCCCTGAACTTGCAACAACCAAACTATCATGAGCTGGTAATGTGAACCGAAATGTTGCTTGTGAATATTCCTCCTTTGGGAATAACAGGAAAGTTTCTGTTCCTAGAGAAGTTTCCTCTATGTCTTCCTCAGGAAAATGAGCCTTTGAGCTCAGTGACAAGGACAGCAGCAAAACGTGTCTGTGCAATAGAGCCCCATGGCCTCTTAAAGTCCTCAAACTCTTGATGGATGGATCAGAGCTGACTTAAACAACAGAATGAGTGCTATTGATGTTTCTCTGCTATGTTGTTGTTTTTTTTAAATCGTTCAAGTAACAAGGCTATTCTGAATCTTTTCTCCATGTTAATGAAAATAGCCTGAGGAGTTTTTCTCACCCAGTTCCACACTTTGCCTTGTCGTCAGATTACAGAGCAGTACCGAGTGGAGAAGAAGCAGAAGAAATCTCACTGTGAAGAATGTAAAGGGAAGGTCACACAGGTTAGAAGATGTCTATCAAATCAACTCATTGTCATAGAGAGGGAGGGGAGGCACATTAATTTAGGAAAGCAGTAGATGCAATTTCCCACTCTGATAGAATGCTTTTTGTAGCATACACTCCATTAGTTTCAGGAAAATTTGTTTTGATTTGCAGCAGAGAAAGGAAGGAAAGAGTGGAGGCCATTGTATTTAAATCTCATCTGAACACAAACTGAGAAAAACTTTGCAGACCTTTGGACTCTGGTCCTTGATTTCCACTGATGTCACTCATTGTCAGGTATTTGTGGTCCTGCTAAAGCAGCCCATGCTTTTGCTTTGCCCATAACAATCTTAAATACACGCCTAAGGAGAAGTGTGATGGAAATGCCTTCGCTGTAGAGACACTCGCAAAGAGGTATGTGAGCCTGAGAAACCAAGTGGTTCTACTGATGCTCACTGTAGCCAAGCAGGCAGATTTGGACTCACTGGAGAAGAAGAGGGAGATGAATGCATACATGAGATCTCTAACATGCCATGAGATGGGTTGTGTGGCGCCTTCAAGCAAGAATCAGTAATACTGTTTAGAGCTGTTAATAGCATTTCTTATTTTTCTCAAAAAAAAAATAGCAAATACTGGCACTGAATAGATATTCATTTCAGTCTCAGATTTTGCCTTTTTATTTTCTACTTTGTGGAAACACACCAAAAGAGACTGCCTGGCCAGCTGAGAAGATAGAGACATGCATACCCAGACAACTTTCCCTGGGCCCATATCATGCACTCTGTGCCATTCATGATGCAAGTGAAAAAAAGTCAGATCTATCCTGCCTTCTCGGCTCTTGTGTCCCAACTATGGAGAACAGCAGCAAAAGGGGGGGTTCTCATCCAAGACACTGGCCCAAATTCACCTTCTATAGATGTCAGTCTGGTGGAGAGTTAATACCAGCTTGTGATTACTTAGGCTATAGTATTTATGGCAAAGTGACACATAAAGCAATGCTTGGCAGCTCCTGCTTTATCAATAAGAAAACTGAGATCCTTAAAGGCTCTATAGCTAAGCTGCAGATTCATCATTTGCATTCCAGTTATCTATGGAGAGCTGAGGTGTGTAGGTGACGCACTAAAGAAGACACCTCGTGTCTTACCACGTTGAAGTCTGGGAGCTGCTTAAGCTGACTTTGCAGACTGTAAGAATGTGATTGAATAACCTGGTTGGAGGGCAAATTTGAAAATTAAGCAGGGCCTTGAGGAAGTGGACCCTATGGAAACCATTCCAACCAACAAATACCATCAAAGGACTTCTGCATTGTTTGTACAAGGAGGATAATGTTTGCTTAAACTGGCTGTCGTCCTTGAACAGCAAGGCAACAGAAACTAATTCAAAGAAGCTGAACCAAATTGAGGTGTGATAAACTATTTGGAGTCTGAAATTCAAGTTGTGTGATACAGATGTCATAGAATACATCACATCACATGGGTGATGTCTGTTTATTACTGGAGCAGTGTACTTTCTAGAAGATAATTTCCATTGTGGAAAGGGGTTTTTTTGTTTATTGAGAACTCACTGGTGGAAATAAAGTATGTTAAAAATGAGCAGAAGTGGCAGATTCCTGTTCTAGCATTTGTAACTTCCATTTTACTCAAATTACTAGCAAAGTTTTGAGGTCCCTTGTACTGATTGTGTTGAAATAATTAATGATGGTTTCTTCCTGGATTCAGTTCCTTTAATTTACATGGACCAAAAGGCAGCCTGCTTGTTCCCAAGGGGAGTCACACACAGCCATAGAATCACAGAATCACAGAATGGTTTGGGTTGGAAAGGACCTCAAAGCCCACCCACCCCAACCCCAGTCATGGGCAGGGCTGCCCCCCACCAGCTCAGGCTGCCCAGGGCCCCATCCAACCTGGCCTTGAGCCTCCAGGGATTGGGCACCACAGCTTCTCTGGGCAGCTGTGCCAGCGCCTCACTGTCCTATCTGTAAAAAAAAAACCCTAACATCTAATTTAAATTTCTCCTATTTTAAAGCCATCAGTAGCTCTTTTCTCAAACTTCCAAGCCTTTTTCAGATCCCATATGCCCATTCTCTCTGACATTTCCCATCATTCCACTCTCCAAAATTCTGTATCTATCTGAGGTTTTATTTCTGCTTCTTTTTTTCTTTTTCTTTGTGTGCATTGCATTTTTGTATGCATTGACACAGAGCCCTCTATTAAGGCTATGCCTAGCAAACGTCTTTCTGTACTGTGCACATTCTTCAGGAGCTTCACATGTCTTCATGTGAACCTTGATATGAACACATGTTTTGGCTGGATGGTGCTATTGTTTCAGTGAGCTGTTTTCATGGAAGAGCTTATAGCTTCTCACAATTTTCAAAGAAGAGTGGATATTTCACCCAAATATATTTAGTCCGCTATGAATATGCCTTCTGATGCTTCAGCTAGAGAGTTAAAAATGGAGACTAACTGTTATTCCTCGAAAGTAGAGTGTTTGGGGCACTGCAGGTATTTAGGTGCTATTTGTACAACTGCATAATAACGAACAGTAGCATCGTACAAAATGTTCTTCAGGGAGGAGACCAGAACCCACAGCCCCCACAAAGGAGGAAGCATTTGTTTCTAGTAACTTTTGCCTGGCCTCCCTGAGCCTGAATTCAGAAGGCAGATGGAACAACGTCAAAAATTCCCTACAGAGAACATCTTATGTGAGGAAGGGCAAAATAATAAAGATGCAGTGTGAGAAGCTTTGTAGCAGCAGCCCTCACTTCCACTCACACAACCCCGAGGGCTGTCCCCCTCCACAGAATTTCATTGCATCTTCTCCTTGTTCTTTCAGAGCAGATCATTAGCAATACCACTCTGCTTTTGCATGGCTGTGCGTCATGGAGCTACCGTGAGCATTTTCCAGGATTAACTTGGCTCTGCTCCTCAATTGGTTTCAACGTGTTTAGCAAGCCTTTTTTTAGTCAGCATGGAGAAGTTAATGCTCTTAGTTCTCAAGCTTTTTACAAGTGCATGAAGCCAGATCATCCCCTCTCAGTTTTGCCACAGAAGAGATATAGCTAGCATAAAGTACCCAAAGTCAGTTTGAAGTCTCTTGGAGGAAAGAGACCGGAGCTTAGGAGATCTCAGCCTCCAGCTTTCTCATCACCTCAGGACTCTCCCACGTACTGCAAACTGCAAAGCAAGGCTTGGGCAGATATTGATGAAAGGCTCTCTCAAAACCAGAGAACTGCACAGAAGAACCCCATTCCCAGGAAAACTATTGGGAAATACCTCCAGACAGAAAACTCATGATTCACAGTGAGACAAATTCACAGTGATGACTGTATCAGATTCTGGCTGACCTGGAGAATGAATCTTCCCATTCCCAGGGAAAGAGGATGGAGGCCAAAGCCTAAGAGTCTGGCTTTGTGCATAAAGTCCCCAGCTTCTGGTCCTTTGGGTAAGGCTGGTTTCTTGCTTGGATAGCGTTGGTGAGATTATTGTTAAATATATTTTATTTCTGAAAGAACTGTAGGAAGACTGGTAGAAAGACTGTAGGAAGACTGCTACAACCTGAAGCGCAAGGTTGCTGACATGCCTCCTGTCACCGCTGAGAACTTCCAGGAGAGAGTCTTAGCACAAAGGGCTGTGGCTGAGGAGCGGGACAAAGTCACTGCCACCTACTGCATGGTTTGCAGCAAGAGATTCTCCACCTTCAATGCCTGTGAGAATCACTTCAAGTCCAAGAAGCACCTGGATCTGGAGAAGAAAGCTGTTCAAGTCATCAGCAAGAAGGTGAAAATATTAAATGAGAAGAACCTGGAAAAGGGGCTCACTGTGGAGAGTGTAGACAAAGATGAAATGAACACAACTATACAGCAAGCCATTAGAGCTCAGCCATCCCATCTCCAAAGAAGGCACCCTTACCTCCTAACCATGCAAGCAGTTCTCCAGTTCCTGTGGAAAGCGCCAGTCCATTGCAGAGTAAAGAACAAACCAAGAAGCCTCTGCGGCTACAATGGTTTGAACAACAAGCAAAGAAGCTGGCAAAACAGGAAGCAGAAGGTAGAAGAGGATTCAGAAGAAGGCTGGGAAGACATGGATTCTGATGAAGACTTCAGCTCTGAAGAAGAGATGGAAGGCGTGGGAGAAGAGGAGGAGAAGCAAGCAGAAGCTGAAAGCACTTGTGCCATTGGGGCCATACCGGTCACAGACTGCTTGTTCTGTTCCCACCATTCCAGAACTCTCACGAAGAACGTGGCCCATATGACAAAAGTTCACAGTTTCTTCATTCCAGACATAGAGTACCTTGTGGATCTCAGAGGACTAAAAAATTGTATTGATATAAAATAATTTATTATTTTGGGAGTGTTGGTTGATGCTCGGCTGAACATGAGCCAAAAGTGTGCCCAGGTGGCCAAGAGGGCCAACGGCATCCTGGCCTGCATTAGAAATGGTGTGGCCAGCAGGAGCAGGGAGGTGATCATCCCCCTGTACTCAGCACTGCTGAGGCCGCACCTTGAGTATTGTGTTCAGTTTTGGGCCCCTCACTACAAGAAAGACATTGAGGCCTTGGAACTTGTCCAGAGAAGGGCAGCGAAACTGGTGAGGGGTCTGGAGCACAAGTCTTATGAGGAGCGGCTGAGGGAGCTGGGATTGTTCAGTCTGGAAAAGAGGAGGCTCAGGGGAGACCTCATTGCACTCTACAACTTCCTGAAGGGAGGTTGTGGTGAAGAGGGATTTGGGCTCTTCTCCCAGGCAACAAGCAGGACAAGGGGTAATGGCCACAAGTTGTACCAGAGGAGGTTTAGATTAGACATAAGGAAGAGCTTTTTCTCTCAGAGAGAGATCAGGCACTGGAATGGCTGCCCAGGGAGGTGGTGGAGTTGCCGTCCCTGGCAGTGTTCAAGAGGCGCCTGGATGACATGCTGCATGACATGATTTAGTGCAAGGGGTGATGAGGAGACAGTTGGACTAGATGATCTTGTAGGTCCTTTCCAACCTTGTGATTCTATGATTCTATGATTCTATGAAGACATTCAGGATGCGTTTTGCTAAGCACAGCTCAAACATCCTGCAGTATTGCCCTGAAAAGCTCACAGTGTAAAGGAGTTTCATGAGGTAAATAGAGGTGTTTGGGGATTTTTGGGGGGAATGTGCTTCCAGGCTCTTGAGTTATGAAAAGGAGTGTGTGTCCTCCCAGAGGAGAAAGAGACAAAACACATGCAGGAGAAAAAAAAATATTTGTTCCCAAAGGTATACACTCACTGCTAATCAGGATTAATCCTGAACCAAGTAACTCAAATACTGCTGCAAGATGGGAAAATCACACTGGGCCATAGTCAGTCAACTGTAGAGATAATTCTCTAACGGAAACTTGGACATCATGTAGTTTTGACTGGCACAACACACATGTGTTTAGAGGACACATGTGGATGGTTCTCTCTTTCCTCCTCTTTACCTCCTTTTAGACAAAAAATAAAATTGATGGTTAATTTAAGACCTAACTGATGTCCAGTTATATAACCTTGTTAAGCACTTGACAAAGCTGTGGAAAACAGCTTCTCCTTGCAGATTTCTGTTGACTCAGAGATTCTGTGTTTGTTATATCAGTACCACACAGCAGCTATGGAAGAACAAATCAAAACTCACTGAGCTTGGCCTGCTGGATCGTCCACCAGGCTTACCAGCACAGGGACATCAGGGCTGTGCTTCTGTGAGCATTGGGCGGTCTGCTATCCCCAGTGGAGGGCTGGAGTCATATGAATGGCTGAACTTATGTATGGCACTAATCAAACAGGACAGAGCTTCCTAGACCCAAACTTTGTCAGAAAAATATCTGCTGAAACCATTTGCTATTCATGAGTTTTCCATATCTGACTCGGAGATATTTTTGAAATATTTTCCTACTTAATCACTCCTGCTGTCTATGGTTTTGGTGGTTGTGTCTCTTGATATCTAAGTGTAGGTCTATCTTCCCCGTCAACCCAACGGCAAGAGCAAGTGAACCGAGAAACCCGAGAGCTTGAAGAATTCAGCTGGTTGCACTGAAGTCTGAATGTTTTGGCTCAGTGGGGCAAAAAGATTTGTTGGAAGCTTTGTAACTGCAGAATGATTCCAGGCTGTAGATTGTCAGAATGCACCAAATTCCAGCACGCCCCCATTGAGGCACTGCTGGTCACATCAGTGCATGAGAGGGACCCGGCAGCATGAAAGGTGACATCACTGGCACCAGCAGCCTGCAGGCTTCTTTGGTCCCAGAATCACAAAGTGGGAAAGGATCATCAAATCCAGCTCCAGGCTCCAAACAGGACCACTGAAAATCAAACCCTGTGTCTGAGAGCACGGTCCAGACTCTCCCAGAACTCTGGCACTCGGGGCCATGTCCACCACCCTCTGGTGCAGACCATTTTCCTAATGCCCTTTCTGGCAGTGGGTTAAGTGGTGCCTCACATGGAAAGGGAACATGCCTAGAGTTTGCTTACACAAGGAGAAATGGGAATGTGCACGTGGAGGAGGAGTGTTCTCTCCTGATTTTTTCTGTGGACTCCTTGATGGAAAACAATTCACTGACTTGAAAATGGATGGCTTCTCTTGCTGTTTTAGCCTATGGCATCATGCAGCTGGAACCTGCATTCAGGGAAACAGCAGATTTTTACCCAAAGCAATCTACATCTGGATTTCCTCCCATTTTCATTTTAATTTGGAGACTGGAATTGAACCAATGACCTGCATGAAAAATAATAAGTTCATCATTATTATTTCAAGATATTTTGTTTTCATTAGAAAGCAGCAAGCAGCAGGGGCCAAGGAATTCTGCCTCTCATTCCTCCCCTCTCTGAGCCATTTCACAAGGCATGGTGCTCAAGGTCTTCCCTGGCAAAAGCCCAGCACGCATTTCCACTGTTTTTGTGTGACTACAACTGTGTTCTTTCAGTCAGATTTTTTGTTTTGACAGAGTTTCTGAGTTGGATTTCCCCTTTACTCTTAGTGGATTTAAAAATTAATGTAGCTTACATTTGGATCATTCATCCAAGCAGCCTATTGCAAAGAATTATTTGAAAAAAAAAAAAAAAAAAAAAAAAAAGCACTTTAGGCATTTAGCTCTTTCTAAATCTCCTGCATTTTTGAGAAGGAAAGGAATGGAAACTTTGCAGTAGATCAGTTTATTGTGTGCTCTCCCCCTGCATTCTGCAGTATTTGCATATATAGTGGCATGCTTGCCATGTATCTCTAGCTAGAAAGCACCGTGAATTGTGCATGCAGGGTACTTTTAATCAGCAGGCAGTGGTTATGTGTCCAGGCAGGTGCCTCTGCTTGGCCCTGCTGCACCAATGTATTTCTGGAGGGTTTTGTTTCCCTGGATTTAGATGAGCGGAGCTGCGTATTTGAATCCACCCCGCTGTCTCCTCACTGGAAAGGCTCTGAAATGGATTTGTGAGTCTCAAATCAGTCCCTGGGGCATCCTAGTCCACGCTGTAAAACCACCGTATGTAAATTGTCGCAGTTAAATAAGTTGCTGGGAGAGAGGGAGACCGGGAATTGGAGGAGGCCCGGTGCCTCGCTGCTCTCCCAGCTCAGAGGTCACTGCGGCAGCAGGGAGGAGACCGTATGGCTGCCATATGTGCCGAGCACAGCAGATGGGGAAGTCATCTCAGCTACCCTTTTTCTGCAGAAAAAAAACAGAAATCAGAAATGGGACGTAAAAAAAAAGCAGGCTCCTTTCTGTTCAGCTGCAGGATTGGGGCGGAACAGGAGAGCAGGTCCACTCTCAGAGGATTTCTGGGGTAATTCATGAGCTGATGTCAAAGGGTTTTCATCTCTTTGGGGAAGTCCGCTGAGAATTTATTGCTGAGCCATTAACCGATTTTTAAACTACTGGAGAATAATGTAAATAAGTGGGATCTCTGCTTGTCACACAGCCACTATTAGGTCAAAATGCGCACGTGGGAATCGCTGCTTCAAGTAGGGGGTAGCACTTCACACACAGCTACACAGCGGATGGAGACCCCTGCACGGCCCCTTTATCCAGAGCCCGGATTTTGGCTCTCCCTTCTGAGAGCTGAACAAGGACTTGCGGGAGAAGAAAATGCCCCTATTCCCCATTGCTAATGGACACTTGCAGATCTTTGCCCTTCCACCCACACCAAGGGCGAGTGACATGGTACCACGATGCTTAAGGGCAGCAGGCATGCTCCTTGCAATCCAGCTGGTGCTCCTAGTTTCCCTAGTGCTGCACCCACAAAAACACTCCCTCTGCCAAAGCCCATGGATTTTTCCCCAGTCCTACATTAACAGTGGGAAGTAGAAACGGCCATTTGTGATGGCAGCAACAGTCAAATACAGTGGGGTTTAATGAGTTTTAGCTTCTGGCCTTTAGTTTCATTAAAACCTTAAGCCTTTCACAACAGAACTATTTACTACCTTTACAAACATAGAAGAAAAAAAATAAAACAACACCAGATGTAACGGTGGTATCACTTTAGGAAAATGTATCTTCAGCAATGAGGGTTGATTTGTCCAGCACAAGTGGTTGGTTGTTTGCTTTTTGCCCTTCATGGAGGAAAAAAAAACAACTTTCCTGCTCCAAAATAGATAATCATGCATGAAACCCAGACATGTTAAATATCACAAGCAAGGACTGATGTGCCCAGGTGCCTGAAGTCCAAAGAAAAGAGTCACATTAATGTCAATGTGCTTTGGATCATTAGCTCTTAAGCCTCTAATGATGTTCCCTAATGACCTTACTGCCCTTCCTCCTCCATCCCTGTAACCTTCAGGAGCCATGCTAACATTTCAGGCGTTTTCTTTAAGAGAACCTTTGAAAAAAGCATGCGAGTATCCCAGTAAAATATAAGAGACATTACCCATTGGGAGCCTGGAATGTAATTTATAGGAGGTTGTATCCACAATATTCATTATGTGAAGGCTCAAGTTCTTATTCATTTTTTATTTCATTCATTTATTCTGCTACAGGGACGAGAATAAAAAAGAACACCTGTCCCAAGATTAAGACAACTTGCCATCAATTTCAAACTGCAATATAGATGCTGGTTAAAAAAAACAGCCCCTTGCACACACTCTGCCATATACCACCCAGCAGTCAGCGTTTCTCCTGGCCAGAGCCAGAGCTGGGGCAGAGCAGCATCAAGGTGCTGCCTTCAGCCTTCTCTGGGTGAGACCTGGAGTCCACACACTTTGCGCCCATAGAAAGCTCCCTTCTCTGCAGTGTTAAGCCCAGCTTTGCTTCGAGTCCATTAGTTCATCTCCCAGTGCCCTCTTGATGTCTGGAGGAGCAGGCACTGGGTGACCCCAGCAGCTGCTCTCCCTCCATGGGGACCACAAAGACTTCT